CTCCTCACCACCAACTGCAGACTTGAGCCTGGTCAGTGAGCCAGAGGAGCAGGCTAAGGAGGTTACTGTGTCAGTGCCCCCCATCCTCTCTGCCACTTCATCTTCAATTCTCTAGATGCTTCTCCTCAGGAGGAGGAAATGGAAGAAGAGGAGGAAGAGGAGGAGGAACAGGAAGAAGGAAGAGAAGCTGAAGCCAAGAATGAGAAGGGTGGAGAGGATCTCTCCCTAGAAAGTCCACCTGTCTCAGCCACTCATCCCCAAATTTGGAGGTGGCGGCAGCCACCCAAGGGGCAGTATCTGTGCCAAGGAGAAGATGGAAGATTAAGGAGCTAAATAAGGAGGCTGTGGGAGACCTCCTAGATGCCTTCAAAGGGGCAAACCCACTAGTACCAGAGGCAGAGAATCAGCCTCCTGTAGGCAACAACCCAGGCCCAGAGTCGGAGGGCAGTGGTGTGCCCCTGAGGCCCAAGGAAGCAAGGAGGACAAAATCCAGAATGCTGAGAACATTCAGTCAGATCAGTGGGAGCCACTAATCTTGAGGAGAAAAAGCGTTACAACCAAGAGTTCCTGCTTGGCTTTCAGTTCATCTTTGCCAGCATGCAGAAGCTGGAGAGGTTGCCCCATATCACTGACGTGGTGCTGGACAAGGCCAATAAGAGTCCGCTGTGGCTGCTGGATCCCTCAAGACTACCCAGCATAAACTGTGACCCAGACTTCACTCCATCCTTTGCCAACCTTGGCCAACCAGCCCTTAGCAGTCGTGGGCCCCTGAGGGGTGGGCCAGGTGGGGAGCTGCCCTGAGGGCTGGCTGGATTGGAACCGAGGTGCTCTCAGCAGGGCTCCTGAAAAGAACCATGCAAGATCATTGCTACATCTCCCGGGATTTAGCTCAGTGGTTCTGGTGCCTGCCTGCGTAAGGTCCTGAGTTCCATCCCCGGTACCAAAAAAAAAAAAAGATCATTGCCACAGTGTTAATGACTGAATGTATAAAACTGAATAAAGCAGAAAAGGCCTGGAAGCCCAGCAGCAAGCAGACAGCAGATGATAACAAATGGGGGGAAGAGGATGCTGATGGCACTGAGACCCAGGACCTCTTCTGTAGACTGTGCTCCATCCTGAATAAGCTCACACTCCAGATGTTCCAGCAGCTGATGAAGCAAGTGACACAGCTGCCCTCAACACTGAGGACCACCTGAAAGGAGTCACTGACCTCATCTTCAAGAAGACCATTTCAGAGCCCAACTTCCAACATGTGCCACTGCCTCATGGCGCTGAAAGTGCCCACTACAGAAAAGCCATTGGTGACAGTTAACTTCCGAAAACTGTTATTGAATCGATGTCAGAAGAAGTTTGAGAAAGACAAAGATGATGATGAAGTTTTTGAGAAAAAGCAAAAGGAAATGGATGAAGCTGCTATGGCAGAGGAGCGGGGCCGTCTGAAGGAGTTAGAAGAGGCTCGGGACACTGCCTGATGGTGCTCTTTAGGGAACATCAAGTTTATCGGTGAGTTGTTCAAGTTCAGGATGTTAACTAAGTGATTATGCATGACTGCGTGGTCAGACTACTTAAGAACCATGATGAGGAGTCCCTGGAATGCCCCTGCCACCTTCTCACCACCATTGGGGGAGCCAAGCCATGAATGGATCAGTATTTCAACCAGATGGAAATGATCATTAAAGAAAAGAAGTAGTCATCTCGCATCTGCTTTATGCTTCAGGATGTGCTGGATCTGTGACAGAGAAATTGGGTACCACACCATGGAGATCAGGGTTCCAAGACTATTGAGCAGATCCACAAGGAGGCCAAGATGAAGCATTGCAAACATATCAAAGTGCAGCAGCTCATGGCCAAGGGCAGCTACAAGCATTGGGGAGGCCCTCCAGGCCCGCCCAGTAGTCATGGCCTCCCACTTGTGGACGATGGTAGCTGGAACACAGTCCCCATCAGCAAAGGCAGCTGCCCCATTGACACCTCAAGACTCACCAAGATCACAAAGCCTGGCTCCGCTGAGTCCAACAATCAGCTCTTTGCACCAGGAAGGAGACTGAGCTGGGGCAAGGGTAGCAGTGGGGGCTAAGGAGCCAAGCCCTCCAATGCAGCATCAGAACCTGCTCGTCCAGCCTCTAGTACCTTGAATGGCTTCTCAGACCTTCAATAGGCAGTACCTAGGGAGAGCACAGATAACAAATGAGTGGTACAGAGGAGCACCTTGAGCCGGGAACGAAGGGAGAAAGCTGGGGACCGGGGGATCGAGTAGAGCAGAATGAACGGGGTGGGAACTGTGGGGACCGATCAGATCCTGCGTGGACACCCACCACCAAGCGAAGTTTCAGCAAAGAAGTGAAAGAGCGGAATAGAGAGCGTCCTTCCCAGCCTGAGGGATTGCACAAGACCGCGAGCCTCACGGAGGACCGGGACTGGAGCCGGGACACTGTGAAGCTGGAAGCCGTGCTCCCACTAGTGAACCCCTGAAGGCTGCTGCCTGAGGAGGAGCCGGAGAAGAAGTCCAAGGCCATCACTGAGGAGCATCTCCATCTCAAAGACGTGAAGGAAGCAGTGCGGTGTGTGCAGGAGCTGGCCTCGCCCTCCCTGCTCTTCATCTTTGTGCGGCACAGTAACCAGTCCATGCTGGAGCGCAGCCCCATCGCGTGAGCACATGGGGAAGCTGCACCAGGGGCTGCTGTGTGCCGGGCACCTCTCCACCGCCCAGAACTACCGAGGGCTGTGTGAAACCCTGGGATTGGCTGAGGACATGGAGATTGGCATCCCCCGTGTGTGGCTTTACCTGGCAGAACTGGTAATGCCCATTCTGCAGGAAGGTGGGGTGCCCACGGGAGAACTGTTCAGGGAGATTACAAAGCCTTGGAGACCTTCGGGAAAAGCTGCTTCCCTCTTATTGGAGATCGTAGGGCTCCTATGCAAAAGCATGGGTCCCAAAAAGGTGGGGATGCTATGGCGAGAGGCTGAGCTCAGCTGGAAGGAGTTTCTACCCGATGGCCAAGATGTTAATGCATTCGCTGCTGAACAGAAGGTGGAGTATACTCCGGGACAGGAGTCGGATGCCCCTGGGCAGAGGGCACTCCCCTTTGAGGAGCTGAGCAAGCAGCTGGAGAAGCTGCGGCAGGAGGGCAACAGTAACCAGCAGGTGTTCCACTGGATGGAAGACAATCTGAGCAAGCAGCAGAGCATCTAGCACGTTAGCTCAAGCCCTCACGACAGCTGTTCTGCGATTATCCGAGTCTTCTCTCCAAGTGGATGTTGCGGTGCTGAAAGCACAAGAGTGACTGCTACAGAAGCACCCATGTGACGAACAGAAGGAGCTACAAGCGCTCTATGCCCTCCAGGCCTTGTAGTGGCAGCCCCCAACCTGCTTCGAATGTTCTTCGATGACGTGGTGGTGGAGGAGGAAGCACTCTACAGCTGGGAGAGCAGCAAGGACCCCGCTGAGCAGTTGGGCAAAGGCGTGGCCCTAAAATCTGTCACAGCCTTCTTCAAATGGCTTGGGAGGCTAAGGAGGAGGAGTCTGACACAACTGAGGGTGGGTGGGGCTGGGGACGTGAGCGCCAGGGACGCCAACGCCCGCCCCCCCTCCTGGACTGCAGGGAGGGGCAACGGAGGGGGTGGCAGCAGGTGCCTGTAGTGCGATGTGTCTGAGCTAGAAAGTGGCTGAAGAGGCAGGAAGGCTGGGGCTGCCTCCAGGATGTGCCAGGTGTCCCTCTCCTTCCCCCGGGGCAGAGATATATTATATAGAAAGTCTTGAAATTCGGTGTCTTGCGGGGGCACTTGCCCCAGCCCCCGCACCACCCTTGCTGCTGCCTGGGAAGGGGGGACGGGGACACAGTGCCTGTAATTATTAAACATGAATTCAATAAAAAAAAAAAAAGATTAGCCAGCCACCTGTCTTCATTCTATGACAGCGGTGTTTAGAAGGTTAGTTTTCTGCATTTAGTTGCCATAGTAACAGACCTCTAGCATGCCCTCAGATCAATTTGCAGAGTTACTGCCCATATTGGGTATAAGCAACATAAAGAGATTATTCAGTTGTTAGAATCTATCTTTAAATTATTTTTAGAATTTAAATAATCCATCAAGTCCTTTGGATATATAATTTAGACAACTATACATTTAAAATCTTTATTATTAAAATCATTATTGGGTGATGAATTTAGAAATTTAATTCTTCAACTATATTATTTTAATGATGGCTACTAATTAATTTAAAATAATCCATTAATGTTTTATATCTCATTGTAAACACACATTTATTATATATGCTTCATACTCATTACTAGATGTTTAGGAATCATAGATGCAGCTAATTGCATGGATAATTTAAAGGGAATGTTGAGACTTGGTCTTGGCATCATCAAAGAGCAGATTAGATAGTGAAACTTATGACCTTCAATTTAACCCTTTTTTGCTGACGCATATACTATATTCATAATATATATCATATTTTTTTTCTTTGTTGAGATCAAACCCAGGGCCTCATGCATGCTAGACAAGTGCTCTATCACTAAGTGACACACCCAGTACTGATTTTTTTTCTTATTTTCACAAGTATGGAAAAGATCTAGCTGACCCTATATACAATGTTAAAATAGGACTTGTTTTTAATATTCTAGAGACAACTGAAGCCACTTTTTAGTAGTTTATGAAGAATTGTACATGTTGAACTTCTTATATCTGCAATTTTAACAGCACTGCTCAATTAAGATAATGTCTTTAAAAGAGGTTACTATTAATTATTTTCTACTTCAGTGAACTAAACAGTCTCACATTGCAGTAGGAATTTTCAGTTAAAGGAAGATTTCTCTTACATGATGAGTGGTTTCAAAGACTATTAATAATATTCAATAAAAATTAAACTTGGGGCCAGAGATTTAGCTCAGTGGTACCACTACCTGCCTTGCAAGAACGAGGTCCTGAGTTTGATCCCTGGTATAAAAATAAACAAATAAATAAACGTGAAAATTATTTTACTGCCAAATGAAATTATTGGAGGACTTATTTATTGTTACCCTAGACAGAAAGGGTTGGGCTTTCAGGATTATTAGAAAATGTGCAAAATGGGCAAAACCCTAGAGAGAGTGGACCGATGGCTGGGGGCTTCTGGGATGGTGGGGAGCAACTGCAGGATTCTTCCTGAGGTGATGAAAGTGTTCCATAATTAACTGTGTTGATGGTTGTACAACCCTGTGAATATATTGAAATTTATCAAGCTATGAAAAATGACTGTACTACAATATTGACATTACAAAAACTAAAATAACTCCACTCCCTCAAAAAGAAATATTAGAAACCCCTGAACAATGCCCAACTTAGAGGAAATAGGAGAGTGACAAAGAATTAATAGTTTTGAAGATATGCTGCCATAGTAGTAAAGTGTTAGGAAAAAAAAAAACAACACTGGGAGTAGAGTTGATTTACTGCCTGGTCTTAATGTAAAAATCAATTAACTTTGGTAGGCTGCTTAATTTTCTTTAGATTATGATACAAAACATAAGCCCTTGGCTACTTCTATATGTGGCAAGGAAAAAAAAGCACATGACATCTTGTGAAAGACTATATTCCTTATAAAATTTAGCCAAAAGAATACAAGTAAATATTCTCAAAGAATCATTGATAGAAAGATAGCATGAGAAAACAGTTATGCTCTGGGAAAAGCTGGTAATTCTAAATGGGAATTTCATTGCAAGACCCTTCTTAAAAGTTCTTCCATTTTCCTGCAAGTAAAATGATACCTCTTATCTAAAGCAAATCTCTTTGTATTTGTAGTACTATTCTTATCGGTATTCTACATAAGTTTAACTATTGATTTAATTAAATTTAGCTACTAAAAAAGATCCAGATGTCTTAAATAGAATGCATTCTACAGAAAAACAGCTACATAATACTAAGAGATATAAGCATAATGGGAAAGAGCCACTAATATGTGGTTGATTATTGTACATTCTAGTCTCTTAACCACAAATAAAAAACAGATTCAGAATTATTTTAACACGTATTCTGGCAGAGCAAGCCCAACAGATAAATGAGAAAATGCTACATAGGAAATTGAAACTATTGCTTCTCAGCCTTTTGGCTAAGATCAAGTGTAGAATTTGAAACTAAGCCCCAAAGGTCTTTGTACCTTTACTTCATTCTTTACAATAATGAAAACTGTCCCTCAATACCTCAATTTACAGTGCGTGTGAACACTTTTTACTGTGTTTGCTGGAGAGAATATTATCTTTATCCTACTGCAGTGTGGAATTTTAAATTACTGAAATAATTTGTATATTCCCAGAAATTCCCAAGTGAGATATAATTTACCTGTTAGTAGAGACCAAGGGGGACATCATTCACTTTACTCTGAGTTTTTAGAAAAAAACCTCAGCAAATATTTCATGTCATTTGTTTGCAGATTATCATAAAACAAAATTAATGTTAGTCTAGCTCACAGACACTTAAACTGGCTTTATAGATTATTGGCTGACTCATACCCACTGAAGACATTCATTTTATACCAGAGACTTTAATAGCAGTTCAGGAACACAAAGATCTGGTAAATAAAGGAAATCCACAGACAGTGCACTATGTGTTGCAGATCTGCTAGCATCTTCCCATTGTTTTTAATCCCCTTTCTTAGCAACAACCTAAAAACATCAAAATACTCTATTTAATTCCTCCAACAAATCTGGCACTAAGGAGGGAAAGATTATTGTTGAAACAACAGACTAGAGAACTACCTGTACTAGAAAATTCTACTTATGAGTGAAACAGATATGTGGGCTAAGTACAGAATGACAGACTCTGAATGTACACAAGAATTTTAACTGAATGGCAAGGACAAGATTTCAAAGACAGGGAATCATGTACTGGAAAGAGAATTTCAATTATTGTCTTTGATACAAAACCACATATACATATATGCTACAACTTGAGAATCCATTATCCAAAGTGCAAGGGGAAAGAAGTATTTCAGATTTCACAGGTTTTTATTTTTAATGTTTGTATAGAATATCAGTTGAGCATTCCTAATCTGCAAATTCCAAATCCAAAAATGCTCTGTAGCCTGAAGTAAAGAACTGGCATAACAGAGGCAAAGATGAAAGAGACAAAAATAGTTTTCATACTTTATTTTATTTTCAGTGCTGGGCATTGAACCTAGGTTCTCACACATGCTAGGCAAGCACTCTACCACTGGACTACACCTCCAAGCTCCCAAAATAGAGAAAAAGGAATTTCTCTTCAAATAACAATTCCAAATCCATATGTTAAGAATGTTATGTATTTCTTGATCCTTTGTTTGGTTCATAACCATGATGATTGAATGCTCCTGCCACTGTGTGAGATGTGCTTCCCACTAAACCTTGTAACAAAGTCAGTGCATTACCCAGGAGAAGGGAAGGGGAGCAAGAATGTGTTGATTTCACTGCACTGAAGGTCAATATAGAAATCCTACTATTAACAATGCTACAGATATCATGAGCTGGATGTAATGTAATACTAATGCTTTCAGATAGGCATATGAATTTATAATCATGGTTGACATTTTAGATTTCAACTCATGATAAAGTGAAAACAAAAATGAAAAAAAATTATTCTACAGCTCCAGAAAAGGAATTCTTTGTTATTTTTCCCCAGGGTTATTATGATAATGCTAATTTACCTTTTTAATAAAAAGGTGAGAATAGTTTTTCCCATAACATGCCAAATTCTTTTTTCTCTTGCAATGTCCAAACACTACAAAGTTATCCATATAGTTAATTCTGTGACAGATACAGTAGCATGCTGAAATCTGCATTCTAGATGTAAGCAATATTCTACAACATGAGTAAAAGGAAAGTACAACTACATTCCTACAAAGAAAAATCCAAATGACTAGTTGCCTCATATGAACCAGAAATCATTGTTTCTTGCTATTTTTATGGCAACTCAATACTTCATGTAATCACATAAGGCATTTTATAGCACTTATTTACTCAAAGCGGCATAATGTCCTACTGTTATATACACAATAAAAATTCCAAGCCAAAACAACAGTAATAACCATCATCCTCCTTCTCCCATAAAAACCCCCTCAAAATAAAAAATGCTTTCTCCCATGTTAAATTTCACAATTAATGATCACCCTTAAGGTTCATGGTTTAATGTTCATTTCAAAACAATTTAAACCAAACCACAGCTTTTCTGACAAATAGACCTAAATAGAGTAAATAAGCAGAGGCAAACTCTACACATCACTATACCCCTCTCCTTCCATTACCTGTCAATCTTCCTCCCTTTTGCCACGAAACCTAGATAACAAGAGGGACTTGTGTGTAACTCAGTGACAGAGCACATGCTTAGCATGCACAAGACCCTGGGTTTCAGTCTCCATTCTCAAGGAAAATAAACCTGTTAAGATTAGTGCTTCAAGAGTTTTTTAAATGAAATCAATTATTTTCCATATAAACTTTATTTTGAAGAATACCACAACAGTCATGCAAATTTAAACATGACACATAGATCACTACTGAGACAAATTACATATATGTCAAGTCACAGTTCATGTCTAAGTACTCTCACACTAATGGAAGGATGTAAACAGCTAAAACAAAAGGCTGATAATTTAAGTACAACTGTAATGTATGTATGTGGGTTTGTGTCCAAATACTTAGATGAGAATTGATGAAAATTCATACAAGATGAATAATAAAAAAAAATTAACTCTTTGCTCTACCATATAAGGCACTAGTAATGTCACACAAAGCACCATAGGACAAGTCAGCTTTCCACATGCTATAATGTAAGGCTTTCTGTTTCTTGAGTTTCTGTACCTTTCCAGTTTCAGGAAAACATCAGTGACAATAATTTGCAAGACACAGCTGCTTTCTTCAGAGAAAGATCTTATATTCTTCCTAAGAGATTTATGTTTTAGTGAAAGAAATCTCAATATATAATCAGTGGAAATAGTCTATATATGTTATAATTGTTCATAATCTTTTTAAATAAAAACTATGGCATTTATCAGGAATAAAAGACCTGGACTCGCTCACTGCTTGCAATGTCTAAGGCAATTCAGATCTAACCCCCAAAATTATTCTGTAAAACCAAGGCCATTCCTGAATCACAAGAAGAAGTCTAAAACTCCAGAGACAACCAGAATACTCCTCAAAGGAGAAGGACTCAAAGACAAGCAAACTTAAGAGAACTAGGCCCAAGGGATTCAAATAAACTTACCATCTTTTAGTAGAAGGTAGCAAGAAGATACTGAATTTGGGGACAGAAAACTGGTTTACATATTAGCTGTTGACGCTGGACATAACAGTCTCTTTGAATGACAATTTTCTCATCCATAAAGTAGGCACAGGAGCAACCACTAGCATTTTTCATAGACTCCAGAGTAATGAGAATCAAAGACAATAATGCACCTGAGAGACTCAGCATGTGGCTCAGTGGAAGAGCGCTCACCTAGCAAGCAGGAGGCCTTTGGTTCTAACCCAGCACTATGAATAATAACAGTGCACTTAATAAGATCTTGTAAACTATAAAGGGCTGTTCTTAGGAAATAGAAACTTTTTTAGTATTAGGGATAAAAGTCAATATGAGGTAAAATTGCAAAATCCACCTTTTTTTTTTTTTTATAACCTGGGATAGGCACCTCTTCAATAGTAACTTATATAGATCTGCCCCTGCCACTCTAACCCTGGTGCTGAGGATTGAACCCAAGATATTTCACTTGCCTGGCAAGCATTCTGCCACTGAGCTACACCCCTAGCCCTTTTAATTTTATTTATTTTAATTTTATCTTACTAAATTGCCCAGACTAACTTTAAACTTGAGATCATTCTGCCTCACTTTCTGAAGTAGCTGGGATTTCAGGTGTGCATCACTTTTTGGTAAGGCAGAATTTAAGAAAATTTTGGCTTACTAGTTTTATTTATGATGTAATGTTATTGTAGTATTATATACTAGTTGAGCTTTCGTGTTATTCTGTTTTTGTTTGTTTGTTTGTTTGTGGCACTAGAGATTGAATCCAAAGCTTCCACACAGAATTCTACCCCAGTGCTTTTTTATTTTGTGCCAAGGTCTTGCTAAGTCACCAAATTCCCTAAACTGGGCTTCAGGTTGTAATCTTGACTCAGCCTTTCAAAGTGGTCAGATTACAGGAGTGTACTACCATGCCTGGCTACTGACTGTATATTTACTCATTAAAGGACCGGTGAGTAATCTGCTGGCCTTCAAAAGTAAACATTAAAGCCAAGTGTGGTGGCCCATGCATGTAATCCCAGCACTCTGGGAGGCTGACACAGGTGGATCAAAAGTTGGAGCCCAGCCTGGGCAACTTAGAAACTTAGCAAGACCCTGTCTCAAAAAAAAAAAAAAAAGGGGGGGTTGCTGAGGAAGTAGGCCATGGGTTAAATTCCCAGTACTGCCAAAAAAGAAAAGATATAAATGACCTTAGTAGGTCATAGTTGTTAGGAACAAACCTTATTTAGTTTTAGTCCTAAGCAGAATGTTCCAATGCATACAGAGCCATAAATTGCTCCTTACTTTTGTGTTGAGGTAAAGAAGTAACTGCTAACAAAAAGTCCAACATTTTCCTCCTGTCTTCAAGAGACACAAAAACAGTTAAAGACAAACTATTTCATTATAACATGAAAATAGCAAGCCTTGAGTTATTGCAAAAAGATTTTTTAAATGTCAGTATCTAACTTTGAGAATAAAAAGGGAAGTAGAAATACTAGGTACTGGTACATGTTATACCCTGGTCTTATGTTTGGCGTGTTCCTGGAGGCAATTTTAAAATTACAAGTTACACAATATCAGAGTGAAAAATGGTCCAGAAATCTTTCATTCAAAGACAAATTAGTTGTTTCTTCTCAATAACTTACCAGATAGAAATCAGTACTTAGAAACCCTAAAGGATTCTTTAAATAATAGAAAAATAATATAAAAAATTTAAAAAGCAAGAACAGATCATTTAAAAGTTTTTTTCTTTAAAGACAATTGCCTTCTCTTTAAAGATAAATGCTATATAAAATGGGAAGACATCACTATAGCTCATCATGTATATAAGTAAATTCTCTGGCAGATATAAATCCATCTTTATCTTCATCTTCTTTATCAAAAATATCCTCCACCAAAACATCATGATGACTTTCATTCACTACTGCACCATGCTTTTCAAACTCCTTCTTTAAATATACTTTAACCTATAAAAAATAGATCTCATTAATAATTTTGATTCATAAAATACCCACACTAAGCCCATCAGTATCATAGACATAGACTAGTAATTCACTTAGCAATCTGTAATAACCACCAAGCAACTACTTTATGATATATTTCTACTGATAGTAAAAGAATTATAAGAAATTATTTCCCTTAAAAACTGTTGCTACCATGCTATGATAGAGACACAAAATATTGCCCAGTAGCAATGATAAAGCTTATATCACACATATAATCCTTACACCAAATACATAGTTTTTATTATCTCAAAAATACACCATGAAAAATCCATTTTTCATTGGCTTGTTTTAAGCTGGAAAACTTGCTTTTATTTTTGCTAATTTACACCAGGAAATTAATATTTAATATAATAATCCATTGCTCACAACAGACTTATAAGCATTTTAAATCCTTAAACTGTATATTCATGTCCTATAACTCCAAATTATATTTATTACTATCATTCAAGTCTGAAGAAAATTATTATTAAGTTCCACAAACAGCAGTCACCCTATATAACCTTTAGTTTGAGATCCTACACTCACATGAAAATTTAGAATAGTTAATATTAAACTGCCCTGAAATCTGATTGTATTCCTGGTTCAGGATCCCTGCAGTAAATTTGTAATTTGTCCACACTAAGACACAAAATTCAACTTGGGTACATCTATATTTTATAAAAATATTTCAAACCAGAACAAACATTAACATTAAAATTTTACTTATCTTCAACTTTATTATGGTGTTTTATTTAAGTAAGTTTTCAAATGCCTGGCTTACTGAATTAATTGAAAATAACTTGATATAGAATTTATTACTAAAGTTTGTCTAGCCATTCAAGATGGCTACAGAACTAATATAACTTTTAAAATATTTTATTTACTGTACTTTTCTGTGAGGCTTGACTAATATATTCCATGGCAAGACACCAAAACTACTGAATAAAATATACTTTTAAATCAATGAGTAGTTGATTAATTTCCCTGAAATTATCAACATTATTACCAAAATTTTCCAGTATTTTAAATATTTTATTCTATAAGTACAATTTTATAGTTTTTTTTTTTTGTTTTTTGATTTTTTTTTTTTTTTTTTGGTACCAGGTATTGAACTTGGGACATTGCACTTATGAGGCAGGTGTGGTGGAACCACTGAGCTAAATCCCCAGCAGTACAGTTTTATAGCTTAATTTACAGAGGGAAAAATACATGTCATGTCTCTCTTCTTGGTCCCTCAATGAGCAAGGTCATTTTTAAAAGCAAATTATGCTCAGCCGGGCATGGTGGCGCACGCCTGTAATCCCAGCACTCGGGAGGCTGAGGCAGGAGGATCACTGTGAGTTCAAGATCAGCCTGGTCTACATACTGAGTTCCAGGTCAGTCTGAACTACATAGTGAGAACGTGTCTAAAAAAACCAAGAAAAAAAAATATGCTCTTTCCTGGTTTAATAAAAAAAACTACAATTTTTATTTTCTAAACTAAGAAATACACTAATAAAAAGCTACTAATTTTGAAATGTCTATATGTCTGTCATTATACCCTCTTTAAAACTTTCCAAGTTTTTCTAAACAAGATATTTTAATCATTTATGTACTAGAATGAAATTAAGTACAGAAAAACATATTTTGCAAAAATAAAAATCACTTCCTAATATACTAGATACTAACAACCTATCCATTTTCATTGTGTTCCATTGAAGATATTGCTGAAATCTGTCCAGTGGTTTATTTTGATGTGATCCACTATGGAATATTTACAAATTTTTGTTCTTGTTTGTTATTATTATTTGCTCTGTGTGTGTGTGTGTGTGTGTGTGTGTGTGTGTGTGTGTTTGTGTGTGCTGGGGATTGAAACTAGGGTCTCAAGCATGCTAAACGTGTCATCTAGAGCTAAGATACACCTCCAGACCCAGAATGTTTTAAGATGGGTTATAGCTAGAGTTCTGATTTCCATCTGGACCCTCATCTCTTTTACTGTTTGGAAGTACTTTTGGTTGTAGCATCTTACTAGCAACAACTTCCCAGGTACCATGTATTATGGTTTATATGTAGGGTGTCCTCCAAAGGCCTCATGAGTGCAGAGGTGGGGCTTCAGGAAGGTGATTGCATCATGGGGGTGCTGTACACATAGTGGATGAATCCACGCATGAGTTCAGAGCCAAATGTGCTATTAGCTGGTAGGGCCTGGTGAGACTGGCCACTGGAGGTGTGACCTGGAAGGAGGTACCCCCACCCGTGCTCCTCCTTTCTGTCTCTGGCCTTTCTTCCTCTTCCTGGTCTCTGTGTGAGCAGCTTTCCCTCAGTCAGGCCCTTCCACCATGCTCTTTCTGCCTTGGAGCCAGGTGATCATGCAAGGACTCAGACCTCTGAAATTGGGAGCCAAAATAAATCTGTCCTCCTTTAAGTTTCCACTGTCAGGTATTGCATCTCAACAGTAGGAAAGTGACTAAGATGCCATCTCTTTTCTCTCATTAAGTTCTCCCACTGCTCAAACAACTCATAATAGCTAAATCTTGGAAGCAGCCCTTTATCAGCAGAAGAGTGGATAAAGAAACCATGCTAGACACATACAAAGGGCTAATACTCTGCCGTAAAGCAGGATACATTTGAGTCATTTTTGGGAAATTGGACGCACCTTGAGATCATAATGTTAAGTGAAATAAATCAAACACAGAAGTTTAAGTACTGCATGGCTTCTCTTACATGACACCCCCACAGTATAAGAAATTTAAAGAGCAAATAAAAGATAACAATAGGAAACAGGGAGATAGATCTTTTGCAAATGGGATGGAAGGGGTGGAAGTGAAGAGGAAATAAAAAGAATTAAGATGTGTTACGTACATGTACCAACTTCCCACAATAAAAGTAATCATTATGTAATGAAAGCATGTACTAATAAATTTTTAAAAATTCTTCCACTGCTCATATGGTTTTAAAATAACCCTGACTATTTCTCAAGTGTCCTCCTTATACATAAGAAGCTCAGCAAATCACTATCTGGCATCTTCCTGCTGTACAACACAGGCTATATGCAGACAAGTGAAAGCCACAGCGGGCCAGGATTCATTCTACAGGTGTACTCAAGGTCCTCCATGCAAGGAGAAGCAGTATGTCTCCATGGCCCATGTCCTTCGCGTACTGGAATAAAGGTTTATTAGGATGATATGCCATCAAAAACAGTCCACACATCTAGAAGATAGAATTCTTAGAGGATTTAACCAGTAAGAAAATTCCTTTGAAAAGACATGAAAATCTGATTTTTTGGTATTTGTTTGTGGTACTAGATATTAAACCTAAAGCCTTCACACTGAGCTACTTCTCACAGGCCATTTTTATTTTTTATTTCAAGACAGGGTCTCATTAAGTGGCTAAGTTATCCAGGCTGGACTCAAAATTATAATCCTTCTGCCTTTTCTCCCCAAAGTGCTATGGTTACAGGCATGCATCACCATACCTGGTGAAAATCTTTCTTTTAATACAGAAGTAGAAATAGAAATCAGTCTTGTGTTTGACACTACTCCAATTTCCTCAGTTATGAGTGTGCACCACCATACCCAACCTGAATGGTGCTTTTTAAGCATCAATATATTTCTCCCTGAAACAATGTGTCCTATGAAAAAGACAACTTTCACAGCATTAATATTTCAAGAAAACTTACATATAATATTTCCCTAGATTAAAAATAAATTTTCATTAAATATATTTTAAAACAGTGAGCTACCAAAGAACAAAAATCCATAGGCAGAAGGGAAGTTCACCTCGTGTTTAGAGAGTTTCCAGTCATCATTGAGATCCATTTCTTGGAATGATTCATGGGATCTTGGTCCATTTCGAATCTCTAAGAGGTCAATGTTGAATATCAGTGTGCTCTCTGGGGGGATTTTACCTGACATGAGGAGAGAGCAGGCACATTTTTATTTAAAAGTCAGTTGTTGTTGTTATGTTTTTCTTTTGCAGTGCTGGAAACTGAGCCCATGGTTTCAGGCATGCTAAGCAAGTACTCTACCACTGAGCTACACCTCCAGCTCCCAAAAGTTTTACTACAAAACCATAGTCGTAGTAAAAAGCCTTTTAATGAATTAAAGAAAGAGCCTTTCTAAGATTGTCATATACGGTGAAAATTATTTATATACTATAATTATATACTATAATATTTACTCAGACAGACTAAAGAATAAAGAAAAAGCATTCTGTTTTGGACTTAGCAATTAACTACACACACGTACCCAGTAGCTTGGATGTGAAATTTCAAATATAATGAAGATATTACATGTCAAGAATGACTTAAAAGGCTTTAGTTAATTCAGAGTTACTTATATCACAAGTGATTTTGGGTCAGAAAGTCCTGATCTAGAAGTACATACTATGGTGCTGGCACTGTCATTTCTGCCACTGGGAGGCAGTAAGTAATCAAGTGATCCCTGGTGTCATACTCTGGAATTGAAATTTACATTGGGCCACCTCTATGCTTTGGTTTCCTCATCTGTGAGAAACAGATGATAATATCTTGTACCTGAAGAGCCCACTGGAGAACAACAACAACAAAAAGAAAATCCATGAAAAATAAAGCACTCAGCATTATGCTTAATAAATCTTAAAGTTCTCAAGAACATATGTTACTGAGATTATTTTCTTATAGGCTTTAAAAATAATACAGGCAAGTTCAAAAATTTCAAAAAGTTAATTAACATTCTCTCTGGTATAGAAAAATATGCATATATTTCAGGCATTCTATGGGAGGGGAGAAATTAAAATGAATTTTGGAAAAGGGATATAAATCTTTAAAACTGAAAAGAGCTTTGTTAGAGTTTCATGGTAGTAGAAAATGGCAACCAACCAACCCACTAATCAACCAAAAACTCTTTTTGGAAAGTACAGACAATTTTTTTTTAAACTTGTTTACTTATAACTATATTTAACCTAAAAGTCTAGGTAAACTTGTTAAATATTTTTGAATCTTCACCCTTATTCCCCTTATCCTTTCTGTGAAAGAGCATTTGTAAGTTTAAAAGAGCAACACTTACATTGTGAGCCAAAGCTTACCACTCCAGATGGAGACAGAGAAGAGACATGCACTTAGATGAGTGAGAAAACTGGTATCGTTCCAAGAAGGCATGCAAGCAGGTACTAAAAGACTACAAAATCAGGGTTAAATATATATTTGGAAAATTAGTTTCATGGCACTCAGTTTGAAGGAGATAACTATATTATGAAGTAATAATAATTTGAGTTAAATATAGTATGGAGATAGAGTAATGAGCTAATTCTACATATATAAATATTAAAGGTGAGGCAATGAAGATACAGGAAAGCAAACTAATACTTTTTTCAAAATAATACTTTTACGCCTATATATTTCCTATATACTGGATTTTCTCTAAACAAGAATTGCATTTGATTAGTAGATCCCATTCTTTTTTTTTTTTTGGAGACAGGATCTTGCCACATAGTTCAGGCTGGCCTTGAACTATGTAGCCCAGGCTGGCCTCAAATTCGCAGGGATCCTCCTGCCCCGCCTCCCAAGTGTTGGGATTACAGGTGTGCGCCACCATGTCAGGCACTAGGTCCATTTTAGAGTATGTCAAGCTTCACATACAGCACTTTGTTTCCTTCATAAAAAACTGGGGATAGAAATCCTGGCCCATACTTTCTTCTGTACCATAGGAATGAATCTTGGTTAGCTTAACTTCTGGATGCAGGGAAGTTTTGTTGTCATTGTTTTGTTTGTTTGTTTTACATCAGAGTGATTCTCTGCCTAGTTCTGATGACATTTTAAATATTTTTCATCATTACAAGTAATATGCTCAGTGAAGCAAATGTGGAAGATAGAACCAGAAATATATAAATTCCTCGTACCATAGTACATTGTTAACATTTTAATTTATTTCCTTGTGATTCACTTTCTATACATACAGTACATACCATTTCTTACACTAACAATCATAGTACAGGTGTATTTTTAGCTTTTAATTTCTTGCTTTTATATTGTATAAATTTTAGATATAATTTAAAAATCTTTTAAATGTCTTTTTTAATAAAGGGGTGATATATAAAGATTTCGGGGGGGTACCAGGGATAGAACGTGGGTCCTTGTTCTTGTGAGGCAGCCAGCGGAACCACTGAGCTAAATCCCAGGCCTAGGGGCTGATTATATATACACACATACATACATACACTCAGCTAAGCTCTTCTTTTTTCTTTTGATACCAGGAATTATTGAACTCAGCACTTTGTGCTTGCTAGGCAGGTGCAGTGCCACTGCTAAATTCCTAGCCCTTAAGTTCTTATCATTGTACACTTAGGCTGGTTCTAAGTTTTTACTATTAGAAACAATGCAGTGATGGGGTAGCCCTGTTCACAAATCTTTCTCTTAATTCCTGATTATTCCCTGAGCTTAGATTTCAATAAGAGAATTATAGAATGGGTGCAAATAAACATCTCCAGGTCTCTAGGTACAAATCACCAAATAGCCCTTTGGAGGGCTGCAAGGGTTCCCACTTAAATGCCAGATGCTCTCTGGCTTGCCTCTGCTCTGTGCCACAGGGAGAATTGATTCATTTCAAATTTAATAGTTTAAAATAAACTACTAAAAACCTCATAAATTTTCAAGTGAGAATTAAAAGAATCCCTAATAAGTGTAATGCTGGTGATTTCATGGTTGTAAGCAACACTCAGCCCATACACAGAACTGCCTTCAGTGCTTTAATAATCTGTATTTCAAATATTTTACTCATCAAGACACTTATGTTGAGTTTTTGTTAAAAGAAATTGGTGAGTTTCAGTTTGAGAGGATGAAAAAGTTAGTGCCGATGAACTAACTACACACTTAAAAATGTTTCAACTGGTAAATATGCATGTGCATTTTATAAAGACTTTTTTAAAAAAACCACCATATTGTTGAACAGTATTAATAGAGTTCAAAGTTCCAGAACTTTTATTTCATTGTTAGCCCAGTTGTCTTGTAGATATTATGGCCTTAAATGGTTATTTCAATTAATAACCAAGACATGATCATATTTCCTAAAGGAATACAAAGCTTATATTTACTTCTAAGGTAAAAAATGCATAGTAGTTACTCTAACATGTGTCTCCTAATCCAGAGAAGGACTCTAGTTCCCACAGTAAGAAATGAAGAAGTGTAGTTACCTTTTCCTTCTTTCCCATAGCCCAGGGCAGGAGGAATGATGAGCTTTCTCTTTTCTCCTACACACATTCCCTTCAAGCCCCGGTCCCAGCCTTTGAGCGCCTCCAGGATGCCCAGAGTAAACCAAATTGGCTGACCATTGTTATGTTTGTGACTATAATAGAAAGAAAACACATTAGAACTTTTGTTTTTGGTGGTGCTGGGGATGGAACCCAGAACCTCATGTATGCTGGACAAGCATTGTACACGTTAGAACTCTTTAGTAACTTACTTTTAAAATTGCTGTGTTGCATTTTTTCCACCCATAAGTTATTAAGTTTTTTAGGCTGGAAATTAATGAAAACAGCTATTCTTTCATTGTACACTCACAGCCCCAAGTCAACTTTATAGCAATCCTTCTTTCTTGAGGCAAATTTCATACAATTGACTTAGCTTCAGAAAGGCAGTGAGAATAAGAAAACTAATTCACAAAGAACATTTACTGTATACCAAGTATTGTCCTAAATTTGTCTCTTTTAATTTTAACAATGGCCCTCTGGTCAGTAGATATTCCTTTACCCTCTTCCCCATACCAAAAGATGTTCAAGTCTGAAATTTTGCATGTAATATATTATATACTTTAAATCATCTCTAGATTATTTGTAACATCTGATACAATGTAAATTCTATAAAATAGGTATTCAACCATATTGTTAGGGAATAATAACAAAGAAAAAATTCTGAACAAATTCAATACAGACATGTTTTTCAAATGTTTTTCATCCATGGCTAGTTGAATCCAAAGATGCAGATGTCCAAATGTACCATTATTGCTCCTCTGTGTAGATGAAGAAATGGCAATTACATTTGCCAGGATTTGACCTTAAATATATCTAATTCCAAAGTTCAAGGTCTCAAACACAAAGTTATACTAACCTAGGAAGGTCATTAGGTTACAAACTAGGGAGAAAATAATGGAAAATATGTGAGTTTGGAAAGTCAGATGACAGACCAAGTAGAATTCACTGCCAACACATGTGGGTCCATATGGCCATGGACACAGACAGAAAAGAGCACAACATCCTGAATCTGCCTCCAAACCTTACTGCTTGTTGATGTGTCAAAGGGCTGCTATTCACACCTAGGTCTCCAAGTCTCTCCGCAAGATCTATTGAGGGCTATGTAAGAAGCCTGGGGAAGTGGTCCCTCAATCTCTAGAGAGGAAGGGAGCAGTCAAATCATCCTGGCATGTGAGATAAGAAGCCAGAATAAGAAATCAACCTGATAGAGCCAGGAATTTACCTCAATGGCACCGCGCCTGCCTTGCAAGTGCAAGGTCCTGAGTTCGATCCCTGGTACAAGAAGGAAGGAAGGAAGGAAGGAAGGAAGGAAGGAAGGAAGGAAGGAAGGAATCAACCTGACAAACTATGAGGGGAGGGGGATGTTTGAGGACTGAGCAATGTCTGAGCCTCAGTTAGCTTCCTTTTGGAACAATAAGGAAAGTGTTCTATTCCAGGATGTCTCATAGGTGAGAATAAAAGGTCATGGTTACTGTGGTTAAGAAATCTGGGTAAATGCCATTTCTTCTTTTCTTTCACTTTACCCCTCTGACTAAGGAAATGAAACACCAACCTTCAAAAATATGGGAAGTGTAGAAAATAATAAATGAAGAAACTATCACCTAGTTTGATACATTTTGTGTGTGTATGCATGTGTATGTGTGTGTAAATCCAGCGCCTTACACATGCTAGGCAAGCACTCTAACACTGAGCTATATCCCCAGTCCTTTTTATTTGAGACAAGATCTCTCTAAATTGCTCAGGCTGGCCTCAAATTTGTGATTCTCCTCCCTCTGCCTTCCAAGTATACAATATTATAGGTGTACACCACTGTATAGTACCCAGTTTCAGTGCATTTCTTATTACGGCTAAGCAGCATACAGGTTATGACTCTAAAAACAGCAAACATGCTTTATTTATTTTAATTTGGGGATTTATTTGAAATAGGGTTTCATCATGTTTTCAGGTTGGTCTTGAACTCACAGTGATCCTCCTACCTTAGCATCCCAAGTACTGAGATTACAGGCATGCAACACCACGCCAAGCTAGTAAACATGTTTTATAGACTTATCATTTGATGCTAATATTTATTTGATGCTAATATTTTGATGCTAATTTTTCATAATATTCAGAGTAAGCAGATTCTGACCATTTACAAGGAGGCTGCATGGCAATAGTCCCTTTATCAGATACTAGAACATTAGCAGTACACTGCTAAACAATATCTCATGGCTAATACCAAAGTCAGCACAGGGTTGTGGTCTTGAGATCCAGAAGAAATTAGCCTAGGCCTAAAAGATTAGACTAAAAGTAAGGATGTAATTGGAAAAAAAAAATTTTTTTGTTTTTGTTTTTGTTTTTTGAGACAGTGCCTTGTTTTGTAGTGCAGGCTGGCCTCAGACTTTAGCAATCCTCCTGCCTCAGCCTCCTGAGTTCTGGGATCACAGGAATGCACTACCATGCCATTTGTAATTGAAAATTTAAAATGTAATATCACAATATATTGAATATCCAATGTGACTGGCCTTGTTGACAAGACGAAAGGGTTGTTGAGAATTCTATGTCAAGCTATGTCTTTGGAGCTTTTTATCAGAGTTAATATGGTTCAGAGAGGAGTGCCACTTACTTCTTCTATATCCTACAATAGGCCAGATCTGAATGCCCATAAAGACAGTCTATCAGAAATAGGATCAAGGATGGGGTACAAGGATTCATGGTATAGTTCTTCTCATTCCATCTGCCTGCAGTGTCCCCATCTGTCTTTCAAGTCTTGCCTTAATTATGGTCTCCAGGAAGTATTTCTTTCCCTGCCTCCCGGGGAATAATAAATCCCAGGCTCTCCTATGCTGAACATCATTTTTTGTTTCCCTCTCCCCTGTGATCTCTGCATCTCCAGCACCTGACTTTAGGGCCATTCAATATGAGTATGACAGATGGATAGATCATCATCTAATGAGTGATGGATTAGAAACCAACATGGTCAAGGATGATTAGAAGCCAAAATTTCTGAGCCTCCTTGGTTCCCAGCACGAGGCCTAACACAGAGGAAGTGTTTGCTAAATACTTTCAGAATGGAATGAATGTGAGCAATGCCTAACTAATCTTTTGCACTTTACAATTTTTTTGTTTAAAGAACAAAAAATGGTGATATAATCACAGAAAATCCTTCCTGTAAGACCTCTTCATGAAGTCTCTATGTAATACCCACCCTAGTGAATAAAGGCTGACTTTCTAGAAAGAAACAAACAGCTATTGAAATCATGGTTTTATCACTTGACCAAAATGTCATGTCAGAACAAAAGTTAAATAGGTGAAACAACATTAGCTTTTATAAAGAGGAAAATAACTGTATATTTTGCTCTTGAAGTTGCTGTGAGAAGTTTTAAATAAATATCACCTATACCAAATTGAAATGGAATTATTTTCCTCAAGGAATGGAGTTTGAAATATTAAAACTCTTCTAAACTTTTCCACTTAATGCCTTCTTATATACCTAAATACTAATGTAAAATGTCAAAGATTCTAATTTTAATGTTTTACAATAAAAATTTAACAGCGATATTAGGACCACATGTTTTGAGTGGGTCTTTCAAAGGCCTAGTCACATAGAATTGGCTTTAGACAATTTTCTTTCCTCAAAGATGGGAATCGGATATTTCAGGTTTTTCAAAAGACAGGTAAAAAACTACATGCCACCTTTCCTACAGGAGAGCTGGCGTAGGTGGCGGGTTCTTTATTATTTTACCAGAGAGGCATAATTACTTACGTGGAGTGAAATAAGGAGCCGTCTTTTTCTAAGTAGCCCTCATAGTGGACCAACATCAAATCTCCTCCTTTGGTCTTGCGATGGCAGATGAATGGTTTCTGGAGAACTTCAATTTTCACTTCTGGCTCGGGGATTAGAGCTCCACTCAAAGATGTGATTAACAACGTCAAGATCGCGTTCCAAAAGAAAAACCTCATGTTACTGACGCTGGAAAGAAGCCAAAACGAAAACAGAGAAAAGGTCCCCGAGTGCACAGAGTTAAAAACGAAGTTGTAGGCTTAAGGACCACAGCCGCTGGCAAGCTCAGGACTCTCTCTTGGAAGACGTGGCACTTTTACTACCAACAACTTTCCCAAGCATTGCAAACTCACTTTAAAGAGTTAAATACAAACTCGACCTTGACTGGCTCTAAAAACGCGGCCGCTGGGGAAAGGGGGGACTCTATTGGTTGCAGGTACTATCGCTCAGTACTCTCCAGCCAATGACGCAACAACCAAGTAATTTACAGCCGGGTTGAGTCCCGCAGCCTCCAGGGTGGGAACCATCCGGAGTAGTCCTAGAGCCCTTCCACTAGGCAGGACTTGGGGAAAAGGGTGTGGCGCCTGCTAACCCGAAGCTCTACCAGCAGATGTGCCTCTGTAAGGAACCCCAGCGAAGTAAGGTTGGGAGAGTTGGGGGCCAGGTAACCTCGCACGCCCCCCCAGATTCCATAATCCAAGGCTCCTGGTATTGCTTATGAATATACAGTAGAAACTGTAAGGATTTACAAGATGCTTTAGGGTTCACAGAGCCCAACAACCGCACTACAACAGCAAGACAGCTTCTTTCATCACATTTAGGAGATAAGTACATTTAGGCTGGAAACAGTTACATGTTCTGCTTAAGGTCCCTTGGCCCCAAAAGCCTGTGAGCTCTGCCTTCAAACCAGATCTGATTAATTCCACGACACCGCGTAATGTTATGGCTGCTACCTTACCACATAATTGACCTTAATGTACAAGGCAAATAATGAATAAGGACGTGCATACTTCCACTTTAAAGATAAATAGTAATCATGGTTATCAATTACAGTCTCATCTAAGTTTAAATTTTTTAGTTCATGTTTCGCCTAATTTCAAAGGCAATACATGTTCTTTTTAGTCAACTTAGAGCAAACTGGAAAGCACCGACGTAGTATTTCCAGACAAAATACTAAGGAGGCGAATTAATATTTGAATTTCCGATAAATAACCAATAATTGCTATATATTTTTATTTATTAAATTTGGTAACCTTGCACAAAGGTAAAAGAACCATTCACAAATAATAATTTTAACATTTTGGTGAGTGAATCTGCGATAGCATACCTAAAGCAATCTGGATCCTACTTTACACTTTTTCTCAAGTTTCTTCCACTTATCCTATGATTAACGTTTTTCCGGATCAAATATCCTTAAAGCAGTGCATTTTCACACCCGCACTCCATGGGAATTCCCCTGGGGATCTTGTTGAAATGCAGATTTTTGACTTGGGAGTTCACGGCTTGGGGCGAGCTTCTGCATTTCTAACTGGTGATGTCAGTTCCTTAGGTCCCAGGACCACTTTTCAGTAGCTAGGCTTAAAGTTTACATAAAACCCATTTACTCTGGGGAGCAGCATTCCATCCTGAAATTCTCACGTCCTGGGTCACACAGGAGATCACTGCAACCTTTTGTTGGGTGTCCCTAGCGCGTGGAATCAATTAGACAACCTTGAAATAAACATAGCGTAAGGAGTCTAGTACACCCTCAAACACTGGGAGCCGGGACCCTACCTCTGAACAGCGCCCCTGACAGTCAAACTGGCTTCCACTTAGGTCTCGGAGACCTCCCGCCAGTCCCCTCACTCAAGGCTCACTCACGTGCCAGTACCCCAAGACTCAATTTCCCGGCAGGCCTCTCGGGCTATCTCAGGCCCGCCGCCGTCGCTGTTGCTGCGAAACCCTGGAGTGGATTTTAGGAACGCGGGCGCGAGCGGCGCATTGGGCATGCGTGGTAGAGCTCCGGGCCTGCGGGTCGGGGGCTGAGGTAAAGCTGGGGTACAGCGGGCTACAGCCCGCCTCGCTCGCCGCACTTAGGTGGCTTCGGCCCCCACCGGATCCTCCCAGCATCTGGGCCTCTTGTGGACGCTAGGTCCGGTCCTACCGCGCCGGCCGTCGCTGGCCACAGTGACCCCGCCCCCGAGCCGAGGATGTGAGCAGGGCGCCGGCTGTGGG